CCCCCCCCCCCCCAAAAAAAAAAAAACAAATATGAATATATATAGCCAGAGGACAAAAATTAAAGAAACAATTACACTTTTTCAAGCCTGAAGTTTCACCTGATTCTTACTTAGTCTAAATACAATCAATTCAGTCCAATCAACAACGTTAGTTAAATTTTTCACAGCAAAACGCAGAGATGCATCACGCATCGCGTAAGCATCATAGACAAATTGGAGAGTATTATTTATCAAATTTTGGCAGAATTCAATGATTGGAAGAAATTACCAACCAAAATAAGGATTAAAGTGGGTATCATCCTAAACTTTGAGGATTAAAATGTGTAATTAAAAGTACAAAATAGACCCAATTTTTCTTATGTTTCTGAAAAAAATAAAACACCCCAGTTGAAGGACAAACAGAAAACATCTTACCAATTGCCGGAAATACCATCAACCAACCCATTAATCCGATCACCAGTAATACAGCCAGCCTTCATAATCTCATCGGCAACGTCCATATCAATAGCCTCCAAAGCAGCCAGTGCGTTACTCTGAACCTGAATTGGGCCTCTGTACTGTCCCTCACCTCTAACTGCACTCAAGTCCTTCTCAAACACCACCACCTCAAACCCCTTCCTCTTCGCCGCCAACGCGAAAACCAACCCTCCAATCCCACCACCCGCCACAAGTATCTTTAAATTCTTTGACGGCGGAGAAGAAGACCCATCAGTTCCGTCACCATCGCTTTGTGTAGATGGCGAAGACGGTGGTGCTTCAGTTACTGTGGCTTTCACCTTAAATTTCTTCTTCATTGGCCAACTTTCTTTGCCTCTGAAGTAGTTCTTGTAGTGCACAGAAGGGAAGAACTCTGGTGAGAAGTGTTTGGAAATTTGAAATGGGAAGTGGGCTCTTGAAAGAAATGGTGTTGATGGATTAATTGAACTGTGAACGACAGTTGAAGCCATTTCAATTCAGTTCGAGTTCTGGTAATTGAGATTCAGAATGAAGATACAGTTTGGGAAGAGGAAGTTAGCGTCCGCTTTCTGTGCTTGATTTTTTCCCAATGCGTAAGAAATGTAAACACAGAGGAATAGAGGGAGAGAGAGAGAGAGAGTGATGGTGATGGTGGCTATGGCTGTGGGGCAACAAGGATTAGGAGCCAATCCATGAATGTGAAGCTTCAGATGTGCTGCACCAAAGATGGGGATACTGAAGCCATGTGGCACTCTGTAGCTGCGCCACCTGCACTAATCAGCTGGCTAAAATCATTCACAGGCGTCAATAATCTGTGGTCGTTACTTAAACTTTTCTTTCTTTGTATTATCATATAAAAAATAAAAATAAAATCCAACCAAATCCTGCAGAGAAAATTAAAATTAATAAATTAATTTTACTTAATTAATGGATTAATATGAATCCTATTAGATAGACCCAATTCTTTTTTTTTTTTTATACAGGGTGTCCAAATTTATACCGATTACTTTCTTAAATTTAATAATTGGTCATCGTGATTTAAATTGAATTAGAACATGTTTTTAGACAAATAAGAGTGGCTCTAAACTATTTCAAGTGGTATCAAAAAATTCAAATTTGATAGTTGAATCCTACGCTTCCGTTATCTCCACACCATGCCTAAACTATAAATGGTAGGGGATGAATAGAATAGATTTTTACATTAGATAATGGAAATACAACACAAGTTCAATACGACATGGTTTGTTGTCAATCGTACTTCCCTTTTTTTCTTGATTTTATTTTTTATTTGGAATTTGTGGACTTATTAAATTGGTGAAGTGGAGAATATTATGTAAGCAAATAAAAAATTTATATAATGTGTTGCGCTGTGTAGTTGAAACTTTGTCATCATTATTCATGTTTACCCCTTTTAAAAAAAAAAATCACTGCAACCATAAAGCATGTGAANACTTATCTAAATAATATACTACTATCCAATTAATACACTCTATTTGTATAGTTCAATTCAATCATATTAAGTTATAAATTTGCTATTTTACTTAATAAATAAACAAAAACATTAATAACTATATAAATTGATGATTTTTTTTAGTCAATATATAATTATTATTCTATTATCCCATTGTTTATCTGGTATACATTTTTAGCACCGAAAATAAAACTTGTCTGGTATACATTTTTAGCACTTTCCATAGAACAGCGAGGGAGCAACAAAACTAAGGATGTCAGTGAACAGGGTTGGGCATGAGGGAGTAGTTTCTACTCTTATACCTACTTTAAAAATATTCGTCTATCTTTAGTCTATTCTCGTTAGTGAAAAAAAAATTTAATCCCTGTCTCCATACCTCACCATCCTCGCCAATAAAATTAATTTTCTATGATTTTAAGAAAAAAAATAATAAAACCTCACAAATGAATTTGTAAAAAAAAAAATAAAAACTCATCATATAACAAATAGATCAAGNTTTAAAGTTACGTGATCTAAAATTTATCTCTTATGAATACACTAGTTATTGCATCTGTATGTGCCTAAAGACGCAGAGTAATAAAAAATAATAAACAATAAATATATTTATATTCATATCCAAAATTATATCGTAAACATAGAAAAGAGATAAAAGAATTTAAACATCGATTTGCAGTGAGGGTGAGAGATATTGGGGGCGGCAATAGTGGTGGTAGAAGACAGTAATAATTGTGACGACGGTGGTGGTGATGGTAGTGGCGGTGACGACGATGATGGTGACGACAGTGGTGGGGGTGGTGGTGGTGGCGANCTATATAATAAAGTATAATATAATTCAAATCCTAAAAGATAAACAAAATAACTTTTACTTTTCGTTATCCAAATCATTTAAAATTTTATTTTAAAATTAATTTGGCAGTTAATATTAACTCCTCAAATTTAATAAGGATAATAGACTCCCTAAATATGTGTTTGGGGTGACTTTTCAAAAATGGTTCTAATAAGCATTTAAAAAAAATAGAGTTTGGAATGGCCTCACCCCCACCCCCACCACCACCATTANAGTAAAATTTAAAACAATCTTAATAGTAAAAGTAATTTTATTTATTTTTTGAGATTTAAATTGTAAGTTACTTTATTATGAATACATTAGTTATAGTATAGATGGTCAGCCTTTTANATAGAACAGCGAGGGAGCAACAAAACTAAGGATGTCAGTGAACAGGGTTGGGCATGAGGGAGTAGTTTCTACTCTTATAGCTACTTTAAAAATATTCGTCTATCTTTAGTCTATTCTCGTTAGGGAAAAAAAAATTTAATCCCTGTCTCCATACCTCACCATCCTCGCCAATACAATTAATTTTCTATGATTTTAAGAAAAAAAATCATAAAACCTCACAAATGAATTTGTAAAAAAAAAATAAAAACTCATTATATAACAAATAGATCAAANTTGCCGTCATCCTACCACCACCTTCACTGCCACCGCCGCCCCACCACCACTGCTCCACCATTACCAGCGCCACCCCACCACCCCCATCATCGCCACAACCAACATTATCACCACCCCATCACCAACGTTGTCACTCCACCACCATCATTGTCACCCCACCAACATCTCTCCCACCATCGCCACCACTGTCGTCACCTATCACCAATTGCTACCACTGTCGCCCATCACCACCATCATCATCTCATTCTTATATTTATTATCACTATCACTATTATCTTACTATCACGACCCACCTCCACTCATTACCATAACTCATCACCACCCGTTGCCCACTGCCAACANTATACAAACATGTGGTGGAGACACTTGTGAGTCGGTTGATTGCTGGAGTAAATGGTAAATTATATAGTCATAATACATTAAGGTTTTTAATTTAATTCAACTTTATATTTTATTTGGTTATAAAAAATAATTGGTATTATGTATAGTCTTATTTCAAACGTTTATCTAAATAATATACTATTACCCAAATAATACACTCTATCCGTATTGTTGAACTGATCATAATGGTGGATTATATAGTCATAACACATTAAAGCTCTTTAATTCAACTTTGTATTATATTTGGTTACAAAAAATATTCGATATTATGTATAGTCTTATTTCAAATATTTATCTAAATAATATACTACTATCCAATTAATACACTCTATTTGTATAGTTCAATTCAATCATATTAAGTTATAAATTTGCTATTTTACTTAATAAATAAACAAAAACATTAATAACTATATAAATTGATGATTTTTTTTAGTCAATATATAATTATTATTCTATTATCCCATTGTTTATCTGGTATACATTTTTAGCACCGAAAATAAAACTTGTCTGGTATACATTTTTAGCACTTTCCATAGAACAGCGAGGGAGCAACAAAACTAAGGATGTCAGTGAACAGGGTTGGGCATGAGGGAGTAGTTTCTACTCTTATAGCTACTTTAAAAATATTCGTCTATCTTTAGTCTATTCTCGTTAGGGAAAAAAAAATTTAATCCCTGTCTCCATACCTCACCATCCTCGCCAATACAATTAATTTTCTATGATTTTAAGAAAAAAAATCATAAAACCTCACAAATGAATTTGTAAAAAAAAAATAAAAACTCATTATATAACAAATAGATCAAACATAAACTCTCAAAGATAATTTATCTATCTATATAATAAAGTATAATATAATTCAAATCCTAAAAGATAAACAAAATAACTTTTATTTTTCGTGATCCAAATCATTTAAAATTTTATTTTAAAATTAATTTGACAGTTAATATTAACTCCTCAAATTTAATAAGGATAATAAGCTCCCTAAAGATGTGTTTGAGGTGACTTTTCAAAAATGGTTCTAATAAGCATTTAAAAAAAATGGAGTTTGGAATGGCCTCACCCCCACCCCCACCACCACCATTATCACTGTTGCCGTCATCCTACCACCACCTTCACTGCCACCGCCGCCCCACCACCACTGCTCCACCATTACCAGCGCCACCCCACCACCCCCATCATCGCCACAACCAACGTTATCACCACCCCATCACCAACGTTGTCACTCCACCACCATCATTGTCACCCCACCAACATCTCTCCCACCATCGCCACCACTGTCGTCACCCATCACCAATTGCTACCACTGTCGCCCATCACCACCATCATCATCTCATTCTTATATTTATTATCACTATCACTATTATCTTACCATCACGACCCACCTCCACTCATTACCATAACCCATCACCACCCGTTGCCCACTGCCAACAACCACTATCATCGCTCCACCACCACCGTCGTCCACTGCCACCACCAACTACTGTAACTCACCACCACCCGTTGCCCACCGTCACCCACCATCATCATAGCCCCCACCACTAACCACCATCGTCGTCGCCCACCACCATCACTATTGTCACCCATGGCTGTCACCACCACTACGTTTGTTGCCATCTACGATAACCATCACCGTTTCTCACCGCCACCAACTACCATAACTCACCGTCACTCGTTGCCCACTGCCACCCACCAGCGTCACTGCCCCACCCCCACCACTACCAACTACCATTATTGTCGTCCACCGCCATCACTATTGTCACACATAGCTGCCACCCCCACCACGGTCTTCGCTACTCACCACAACCATCATCGTCTCTCACCCCCACCATCACTATCACTGCTCGCGCTACACTACAACTAGTACTTAAATTCTTTTTTCTCTCCTTTATTTTTGTAATTTAATTTTGAATGTGAATACAAATATGTTTATTATTGATCATTTTTATTACTTCGTGCCTTCAGACATGAGAAATAATTAATACTATTGTAAAATATCAACAAAAGTGAAAATTTTTTGAATTTTTTTTTTTTGATAATTTTTGATTGACTATATAATAACTTTAACAAAACAACTAATGTCAACAAGGGCGGAGCCAAAAATTTTGCTCAGTGGAAACAACTTAAACCATATGAATATTAAAATTATTAATGTTCACAAAGTATAATTTCATTAATAAAACGTCAATTAA